CGCCCACGTGTATACCGTATACGGCCGTCCGATGACCTCCGCGCGCTCGCGCCGGTCATTATACTACACCGGTCACACAACTTTATGTCATCCAGTCCGAGACTGGTGGGCGCGATACCACGCGGCCGTCGAGTGTAGATTACTACTTAACAGTTAAATCTACGATGGTGCGCATACAAAATTCTCACTTTTGGTCCGACTAGATTCGTCGCCCAATGCCAGCCGTTCAAGTACAAGGGGGTGCCCCCACTTTTTGCACAAGACCCCCACCAGTTGAACAACTCGAAAAATATCAGATTTTAAAACAAATAAACAAAAGCATTGCTGTTATTGCATGTCAAAGATGTGACGGAGACAAAAAAGGCCCATAATTGGGCGGGGAATCCAAATCAAACGTTTTGCCGCGCTTTTTCGATATCTGCGTACTCGAAAACACTTAATTCGATGTGTTCTGCTCCATATAAGTGCAAATTGAAGCCTTGGTGACCTTCCCAGACTCTCCAGACTGTGTTAGAAACCGGGTGTCAACTCACAATGGGTAGTGTCAAACGAATGTCGAAGCACGAGAGATGCTTTCAAAAGGCTCTTGCCGCAGTTGACAAGGGTGTGGATAGACGTTGTGCTTCGTTAATTGCGCGTATGCCGTTATCCACGTTTCAGTACCGCCTAATGCACAAGGACAGGAAGCCAATCAGCCGAACGTACCTCACCGCTGACGAAGAAAATGTCATTGTGGACCTCGTTAACAGGTACTCTGCCCGTGGCTTTCCTCTCAGCAATGAGGATGTTGGTGATGCAGTCGAGATTCTCGTCGCGTCGTTTCCCGCAGATCGCCGAGCAAAACTACTCTTCGTAAACAACAGACCTGGAAAAAAGTTCTTCCGCAATTTTCGTGCTCGCCATAGCGATCGCATCCGCTTCAGACGCTGTTCGAAGGAGGAGGAGTTGCGTTGGAGCGCAGGCAACGCAGGTGTCCTCACATCCCATTTAATTGAGGTGCACAAGCTCATCGCAGACAACAGGATAGATTCATGTCAAATTGCCAATCTTGACGAGACTGGCATATCCCCCAACCGTGATAGTTTGAAATCCAGCCACAAGAAGGCATACGTAACAAGATCTTCTAAACTGGGGTGCTCTGTTCAGCGTTCTCGTGAGTTCCGAAACATTGAAAGGTTAACAATTATGCCAGTAGTATTTGCGAGTGGTTGCGTTGGAAGGCCTTTGTTTGTCGTAAAAGGCAAGTCGCTTAATTATCGTGTGACAAAGTCTGCAGCAGGAGAGCGAGTGGAGACAATTGCAGATTGTCTCTCAACCGGTAGCGTTATCACTTGTCGTGAAGACATTGCAGGCGTGGACTCTCAAAATTTTTATGAATGCGTGCGTGTGTTTGTGGATTACAACAAATTAAGATTGAGCAGTAGCAAGATACTTTTATTGCTTGACGGTTACAGGAGCCACATGAGGTACAGGACAATGCAGTTTTTTTACGATGCTGGAGTCATCGTGTACGCTTTGCCGGCGCACACTAGCGGTATTACACAACCGTTGGATGTTTCTGTGTTCGTCGCATTTAAAAACAAGCTTCGAGATCTTGTTGAGAGCCTATCAAGTCACACGAAGGACAATGTCTACGACCGGTTTTATTTTCTGATGCTTGTAAAACAGGCATACAGCATGACTTTTACGAGAAGCACCATTGCCTCTGGTTTCGCGAAGGCAGATGTATAACCTGCCAACCTCTCGCACGTCTTCAGTGTGTCGCGGCCAAGGTCTTTTTGCCACCCAAAATGAATTGATCTCGGCAGTAGATATTGAGAAAATATTGGAAGATAAGCGGGAGAGGCGGAGGAAGAATATCGGTTTGCAGCCTGTGGTGTTAAGGAACGGGTTCCTGGATACTACATTTGGCTTATGTATCACGTCTGAAGAAGCTTTAAAAAATGCCAAGGCAAAGGATGCGGTGGACAAAGCCAGAAAGGCAGAGCTAGCAAGAAAGGAGGCCGAGAAAGCAGAGCGCGAAGCCATCGCTTGTGAAAGATTAAGGCGAGAGCGACTACGTTTCGAACGCAAAGCAATGAATTTTCGGGTTCTTGTTTATGGAGTGGAAGGCAAGCTGCCACGGCCGATGTTGGAGCGCCGCATGGTGGCGAAACGTCGGACAGCAGAAAGAAACAATCGCCGTTGTGTGGAGGCTGTGAATCAGTTGATGGGTTAACTGTTGCCGCAGTGGGGATCGAAATTCAAATAAAAATTTGCATGTTTTTTGCAGTAGCCAATAAATTGGCTGTTCAGATTAGGGGGGCCTCAGAACTGGGAACTTGTTGTTCATTTTCACATTCGCTTCTTTTCGCATTGAGACCATTGTTTCTCCATACCGGTTTTGAGGCTTGACAATCTGTCGCCACGCTTCAAGAAAATTCAAATCTTGTTCAAAACGGACGTCTAAAAGATATTATTTTTTTAAAATCTTTGATTTGTTCAACTTGTGGGGCTAAAAGGAGGGTGCTCTAAATGTCGGACAAAAACCTCAATATTAAAAGGAAAAAGTACTTGTAATTGTCAAGCAATCACCATTTTTTATGCCTTGCGACGGGAACACTCTCAGCCATTCGTCTACTGGTCCCAGTACCAGGACTTGGCGAAAACAAGCACGGACAAAGACGAGGAGTGAGATTGAAGCGCGCGGACACTTTTGCACCCCAACCGCGCACAAAGATCGGACATCGAAGCAAATTAAAAAAAAATAGAAAAGTATGCCTGTTTTGTATTTTTGGGTTGTTACACTCTTATACGTAGCAAGCTGTGAGCAATCGATTGAGATATTTTTTCTTTAATTTCAACCACGTCGTTCTGAGATACGGCGCACTGTCTGGCGCCGTTACGCGCGGCCGTGCACCTTGGCCCGTGTCGGAGATAATTTTCAAAATATTTTGCATGTCCGATCTTTTTGTCACTGTCCGACAATTGCAGCACCCCCCCCTTTACAGAGTAAAGTCTCGATAAGCTGCGTACCTGATATGATGAACTGTCTCGGTACAGTGAACCGAAGGACTATGAGGGAAGCGCCACCCCGCTTTTTTGGCCCAGAATCGACGTTTTCGTATTTCTAACGTGAACTAGACTCTATAGAATGAACTACGCGATACCATGAACATACAAAAACATGAAAACCCCAGAGTTCACTTTATCGAGGCCGAAATGCGCACTAGGAACGAACCATCAACGACTACAGAAGCCATCCATACGACTTTGCCTCAGATTCGAACGCTGAAGCCTCCTTACGCGGCTTTGTTCCTCATACAGAAGTGACTTGATGCTCGAAGGCAGCCCCGATTGAACCAGATTCGCGTCCGTCATAATACAACTGAGTTCGTTAGATAGAGCTTCTAATGTTCCGCGATACCGAGCAAGCGACGGTTTGCGCCCTGTCTGGTCTTTCGCTGGCACAGTAGAGCGATCGTCCTCACTATCTGAATCACCGTTAAATTTATCTTGCTCAATGCCAGTAAATGCCCCAAAATCCCCTAATCCAAGATCAATGGCTTGACCGAGAGCTGACTCTTCTGATATAGACTCTGGATGTGGCAGAATTAAAAGAAAAGGAAGGATGGATCACAATGTGAAGTGGTCCAGATATGGAATTGCGCCCGTCGACCTTGCCCCTCGACCTTGCCCATCGATGGACAGAGTGAAGGAAAGTGAGTTTGTGTTCCTGTGACCGTATCATCGGCATTGGTGGAGACGCTCTAAGAGCGTCTCCACCGGTGTGGTCCAAATCATACTGTACCCGTAAAAAGGGTACACGTGTACACGAGCAGTTCCGCCGCCGTGAACTGCCTCGGTAAGGCGAACTCAATGGGCTGCTCGGAAGCGCCACATTTCGGTTCACGATATCGAGACTTTACTCTGTACCCCCTTGTATGGACGGCGGCGGTCCGGAGCGTTCTTAAAACCATGCAAAATCCCGGTTGGTGATGAAGCACAAGTTGGTGATTAAGCACGCAACAGTTACTTTCAGCGATGCCCAATTGAACGGGGTGGTTACTATAGTTTCCACACGACCGTCAATTTGACCCCATATGAAGTCAGGCGTGGCTTTGTATGAGGCCACTTTTTTTGCAAAAATATATACATTAAATCGAACCTTTGTAAAGTCAGTTTGTACCTTTTCTTTAACGTATATGCCCTCGGCGATAACATCTTGCAAAACATTAGGATGGCAGTGGTCAATACACAGAGAGACTAAGAATGTAATGAAATTTCAATGATCAGTTAACTTTTTAAACAGGCGATTTGGTTTCGAAGATATCAACATATAACGTTTTGAGGTTGGTCAAAATGGCTCCTTTTTTGGGCATTCTAAAAATGGCTGGAAAAGACGTGCAGATCTGACCAAACTCCACCCTTCCGCAACGCAGAAGTCAACTGCGATGACGAGAGTATCTTTTTCCATCTTGTTGAGCTAGCACAAGTCGAGAAAAGTAAGTTGAAAAGTGACCTCATATGAGGTCATTTGTCACCTAGACACTATGGAGATTCCAACTCTAAAACTCGATTTGCACTGCGTTAGTCGTTTCTTCCACGGTTGTTGTACTGGCGCACAAGGTTGAGTCCAGAAGTGGCCTCTGTGGTTTGCGTGAGGCTACTGGTCCCATGCGTACTATTGTCTAGACGACATGTGACCTCATCATACGAGGCTACTTTTCAACTTATTTTTTCTCGACTTGTGCTTGCTCAGCGACAAAGAAGCCTGTTTCACCAACCTCAAAACGTTTTGTGTTGATATCTTCAAAACCAAACGGCATGATTAAATGTTAACCGGGTGGAGGAGATGCGCACTCATTCATTCGCTCAGAGTTGAGGACATCAGCACGCCACACCCTGAACTTTCGCGTGAAGGTCTTGTAATTCCTGGCGTTATATATTACGCCTGCAAATCTACCGTATCACGTCTTCGCGCCGTATCACGTCTTCACGCATCCGGGAACTTCTATCTTCACAGTCACAATGGGTAAAGCGAAGAAGGCTCTGGACGATTTCATCGACAACATCCCTGACAGTAAGCTCACGGGAATACATCAGGGCGCGGGCACTCTTCACACGGACACGGACTTTCGTCTGGATTTACAGGGGGCAAGTTTGTTCTCAGGATGAAATGACTTTCACTCTCGTCTGTTCGGCCCATACTATTTCTACGGGATTCTAAAACTAACAATTAATTTCATCGTGCTGTATCACAGATGACTTCTGGGACTCCAAAGATGTACAACCTTCAGATTCAGATTAACCGTGGTACACAGCTCAGCACCCTGAAGAAGTTCAGCCCTGGCACGGTCTCGACTGTTCTCGCTCCTATCGATCCAGCGATGTCTGCTGCCGATATCAAAGCGTCCTTCAGGCGTAATGCTAAGATTTGAAGAAACCTCCATTTCTAGACCTTTAGTTTCATTATCCGCAGCCTGCAAGTAACCCAAAGTGCGCTGTTCCCTGTTCTACCAGTGACCGACACTGTTTCACTTGTAACGGCTTGTTTGTGTCTCGAGGTCGGGGTGTGTGCATCATTCATTCGTCTTCCACCCCTCAATCACATTTCCTGTGTACTCAATCTAGACTGAGTAAACACATTTCGCTGTTGGGAAATTTCCTTGGAAGCTTTGGCCGTATCAGGTTTGCTTCGACAAGGATTTCGCGCATTTCGGGTCTTCAAAGGAGACAGCGTGTGTTCTTCTCCACTTATGCGCTATAGTCGGGAGATACTGTTCCTGCGGGAAACGAGTCGTCATCCCCCGGGCCTATCATTTTTGACGCTTTCTCAAGCAGGAAAACTGCAAACTTTAGCCTCTCAGAATTGTTCTTTTCGTGCTTCACATGCGATAGGAGCATAGAACGACAAGGCCTGGGATGCTCCCTATGCTGAAGCGATGCTAATCTCAGCTATATCCGCACCAAATAGCCCGCTCCTCACATGCGATGAACATGGGATTCGTAGTTAGACGAAACATCGTAAATTCATGTCGCTCATCGACAGGAACATTTTCAAGACCTATTCCAGGAGTATCTTCTGTAAACTCGGGACGTCTTCCCCGGCCTCCACGCCATCTAGCCACTTGGAGATACGCTTGATACAAAATTCATTATCGATGCAATTCACTGCCATCTCGAAGTCTGCCTTTCTCAAATTTAAGTCAGACGAATAAATCGCAAACCAAGCAGGCTCGATATTCTTGACCTCATTCAAAAACTCGTTCCGCAGTTCAGTCTGCTCGTACTCAAGAAGATCTTCCGGGTACGACTCGTCGATCTCGCCGTCCTCGTTCAGCCCGTTTTCGTCTATAGCGTATTCGATTCTATTTGGCATCTCCATTCGTTCTCCTCCCCGAAGAAAGTATGGAATTTGACATACCCTCCATAACGGTAATGCAGACACGCATTCCCAGTCAATAATTGCAGTAAGATTCCCGTCCTCATCAACCATGATGTTCTGTTGAGAGAGGTCATCATGGAAGAGAGCTGTTTCTTCCACTTCATGGTTTAGGTTGAATGTAAAAATTGAATGGAGAAGCGAAGCAAGTCTTTGCTCTAGTATTGCGACCTGCTCTGCCGTATCAATATCATCTTCATCTCTCGACGCTTCAATAATGTCCTTGCTTTCGTGACGGTGCACAAGCAACCGGGCGTGTAGCCAACTTCGGCTTGAGCGAAATGGACCTCGGGGGAATTCTTGGGTTGTGCGATCATCCCAAAAGAATTCATTCGACACAATTCGACCGACTCGAAATTTTGTCTGGTCAACAGCGTCATCTCGGGACGTGTCGGAGTGATAAAGGTTCCCTATGCCTTGGATTCGGGCACGGAATAGCTGGACAACATAAAGTGCAATACGCTTTACCAAAGCCCGCTTCTTTTCTAGCGGTAGTGATTTCCAGTGTTGCCTTAGCGGTTTTCCAGGCATGTGCTCTAAGAGCATCCATTCGACACGAAGAGCATTGTCGTTTGAAGCGTCAAATGCAATGACAGTGGGGACGGGGGCATCTGTGTTTTGCTGGATGAAGTCGAGGGTTGCTGCCTCGCTTTGTGTCTTACGACGGGGATCAACTGGAAGTGTGACTCGCATAATATACTCGGCATCATCATGTTGTACTTTGTACACCTTATTGAATCCCCCCTGAGCCAAAACTGTGACGATGCAAGCTTGGGATTGACCAAGTTCGTCTTTTACGATATCCTTGATCGCATCAATTGAAGGTTCTTGAGTCCATCTGGGCTCGGCGCCAATATGGTCTTTCCCCACTCAAGTCCATACGGCGCGTGTGTGGTGGCATGAGATCGGGAGATCACGGCGGTGAGGCCTGCAGAGGGCCTAATTGACACTGAAGAGCGGACTTAACCGAATTGACCTGGTAGTGCTACAGTAGTAAGGAACGGCCTGGTTGCTGCGACGGGGAGGTGGGCGAATGCACAGTAGCGAGGGTACAGTACCAAGGTACCGTTGGTAGTACATACTGTAGCCAATCTGAGGCTGCAGTGGACAGGGCTGTCCAGCGCATGAAACAGATGTGCGAGTCGACAATTCTCTGTTTAGCTAGACGTATTGTATTTCCGGTGGTCGCCAGCTCACTATGAGCGCTTGTCGAAAGGTGTGGGAGGGTGGGCTGGGGAGTTCGTGTCTTGTGTCTATCCGACCGTTGTCCTCATATGAAGTCACGTTTCGACATTCTTTTCTTGCCTTACGCTTTCTCGACAAGAAGGAGAAAGATCCCCTCGCCACCCTACTCGACTTTTGACATGTGGAAGGAAAGAGGTTAGTGAGAACTTCATGTTCTTGTAGTTCGTCTTTAGAAATATCTGGAAAAGAAGCTTTCTCAAACCACCTTAAACTCGCATGTCATAAAACTTGGAAATGAAAAACGCCACTTTCAAGAAGGTGACTGGGAACACAATCTGCACCACATTCCTGGGTGAGAAGTAATAAGAGATACTGTAAGACAACGGAAAGCTGCAATGAAACTGAAAAAAAAAACCGTAATTGTAATTAGACTGAAATTTTTAGAAAACATAAAAGCACTTCGAGTCACACTTGACAATGTAGACGAAATTCATATACTGTATGTACAGAAAATCAAGACACCACCCTTGTACCCAAACCAATACTGTACAGAAATCAATGTAATATTTCAATAGTGCACTGGTATGTGCATCTGCCGGATGTAGCACTATTCGGGAGATGTCGACCGCACCTCTAATGCAATCTCACAGGGCCAATTGCCCACTGTGACCTTACCGTAACTGGCGGGACGTGAGTTGGGTTGACCACACGCCAGGCCTGCTCAAAGATGGCACGGACGGTCCTTGGACGGTCTTGTGCGAGTCATTGCGGCATAACACCCACCCAACTCACACGACATCCAACGCGAGCCAAAGTCGGGGCGTTCCTTCCAAGCCTGACCAAAGCACCCCCACACGTCATGCCACATCGCGGTCATCGTGGTATTGTTCGAAGCTTTCAACGTATCGCGGTCACATTACGCCCTCCGAACAAACGCTTGCTAGTCCGAAGGTAGCCCCACCACTAGCCTTGAATATAGTGTGCCTGAGAGTTGAGAACACTCCGTTCCCTCGACACCGGCTTTAGGAGCCACGTTCTAGTATCAGGGGATTCCGTTCAGCGCGGAGGACGAAGCTTCATGCTCCCTATCTGGCCATTCGATTCGAAAAAGCCTTCGAGAATCACGCAGCCAGAGGAAAGTACCTTGAGCACAGGTGCACAACCCCTTCACAACAACCTTTCTCTGCGAAAGACTTAGTATTCGTTTACTGCTCTCCCCCGTCGCAAGATGCACATAGTAAATAACACCATCACCACGAGTTACGACGGCTCGCTCACCATTCCCGTCTGTCGCAAACGCAAAAAATGTCCCCGAAAACGTGCAAAACTCCCTCCCCCTCCACTGCGCACTCGTCAACTTCCAAACACAACTCGCCTTGTTCTTACAAAACGTGTATCTTATAAGCAACCCGCTCCACCATGCGACGATAATGTCTCCATCCCTCGTGAACCGTATTTGCGTGAGACGGTCACATAAGTCGATGCGATCTGGCACACCAATCACAACAGAAGCATCCGCATCCAAGCTACCCCACAAAGCGATCTGGCCTGCCATGGAACCTACAGCGACGGCGCCTCTCTCAGAGACATCGACGGCGACACAAGGGTGGCTGTCGGATCCGAGTAGGAGTTGTAGGGCAGTTGCCTTTCGACTGGCAAGGCGGGACACGAAAACGCCGTCGAATCCAGCGACGGCGGCCATGGCTGTGCCATCTAACAGTCGAGTGACGGATAGATCTGTGGGTTCGACGTGAAGTCGGGTCGGGCAGGACACGGTGATTTTTGCAGAGGCGTCTGTGAATATTAGGAATTGGTTGAGAATGGTGGCGAAGAGGTCCTGGGTGCCGGCGGCGTGGGCTTTGACGGGGAGATGGGACGCGGGGAAGGCGAAGGCGGAGTCTGGTGTGGAGAGATGATAGGAAGTGGCGGCCAGTTGGGAGACGTTGGAAGAAGTTGGAGTGGAAGCAAGGGCGTTGCGCATGCCGACGGCGGGAGCGGGAGGGTCTGGTAGGCCCATCACAAAAGGTCAGAAGGTCGGTCGTGGGTAACGGCTGAGAGCAGCTGGTCTACATGACCGGGATGGAGGCAGTTGGAATGCGAGAGAAATGTGGGCTGGTGCGAGTGGTATGTTTTACATTGGCGATGGTGGCACGCCAGGAAATGATTTTGAATCAAAACTCCGGATGAGCACTGCTGTATGACGCACAACTAGAATGAGAAAAGCGTGCCCTTGGCTGCTCTATGGTAGATGCAACTACTAATCGTTCGACTAAGTGGACGAAGCTGCCGGGAATAGACACGCAGAGTTGCCGCAGCGCTCAACGCTTCAGGACTCGACAACGGATGCGTTTCCCCCCTGGAAGACCGCGTCCCGTGACGAATGCACACCTCCATCTCTACCGGGGGAAAATAAAAACGGACAGATGAGAAGACTATCGCCGCCCTGCGTGGATGGCGGCCATTTGCTGCTTGTGTGAGATCTTCTTTTTGGAATGCTTGACGGTCCTCTCCGCGGCGGCGGCAAGGCGGTCGAGAACGGGCAAGGTTTGCGGGCGAGCGGAGGTAAATGAGGGGAAAGGGGTGTTGGCGGCAAAGCCGGCAAGGCTGATATGTGGGGTAGACATGCTGAGAAAGAGAAATGGGGAGTTGGGGTTGGAGGAGGAAGCGGGAGGAAGAAAGCGGGAGGAGGAAGGCGGGAGGAGGAAGGCGGGGGACGACGATGGGCAGGACATATAAATACAGAGCGGGCATCGGGCGGCGGGTGAAAGGTCAATCAGGATAGAATGCGTAACCAATGGACTGAGAGTTGGAGATACGCCACCCGGAGATGGGAGCTGGATGCGAGCGTTGTCACCACAAGAGCAAATGTGGTACGGTAAATGTTGTCTGGGAAGGCGGATGGATGGAGGGGTGCGCGACATCCCGCCATTCCAAAGCACTGCGACAAATGCACCTTATCTCGGTCCAATCATCGCTGCCCGCAACCATCGCTGCCCGCACTTGCGAGCACATCAGTCTTCGCCTGAAGACCCATAAACGTACCCTTGCAGCAGACTCTACAATATCTGCTATTGCTCTCGATGCTCTCGATATGCAGTCTGTCGAGGTGCAAGTACTGTAATATTCACATTTACATGCTGACCAACTCACAGCCTCAAGCCACTTTGTCACTACCCATGCCCTCGCTTCTACCCCCCTTGCCCGCAGCCATATCTTCCACAAATGCCACTCTCCGAACCCCGCTCCCATCCCAGTGCCGTGCAAGTCAGCCCCGCTGTGTCCTTGATGTCGTAAACTTTAAAATGATCCTACATCCCGCCATTCCGAAGAACTGCGACCAATTCACCATATCTTGGTCCAATCATCGCTGCCCGCAATCATCGCTGTCCGCAATCATCGCTGTCCGCAATCATCGCTGTCGATGTGGTGATGGTTGAGGTATGATAAGGGAAAGATACTAAGGATGCAGTACCAAGGGTACTGAAATACAGTTGGCACTCCCGTGCATTATTTAGGTCGGTGGCGACGGCCGCTCTGTGACCTCGCACCGGTGGTCGGAATATAGCAAAGTCAAGAGTCGTTCTCTACTTTGCTCGCCCCTCGGCGTTCGGCCGAGGTCCCGGCGCTGGTGGAATTTTCAAATAGTCGCCGGAAGACCGCTTCTGGCACAAGCGCAAATATTTCAATCACAGCACTCTACAGCTTTTAACGGAGTAAGCAGTATTCAATGTTCAAAGCTGTTTCAAGAAAGATCTAGGGCATCATGTCTGGAACGGGAGAGAATGTCAGATGGGTCGTTCAAGGTATAGATCCTACCTGGGTCAACGTCATCAAGTTCATAGTGATAAACATTATATTATTACCTATTGCGGAGTTGGCCATTGCAACGGGGTTCAGGCGTTGGGCATCGTTCCATATCCTCTCAGGGAAGTCTCTATACTGGAAAGAGAGCAAGATGGGGCTACTTGGCTTACACGGGAAGCATTTTAGCAAGTTGAGCGCCTTGACGTTGGCAACCTTAGCTATCGCCGTCAACTCAGCAGCGTTTTTATTGGAGTTTGGGGTGTCTTTCTCTGAGGTCAGGGGTACGTCGTACACGAACGTCTCCAGCATCAATAGGAGTATTGACTTGACTGTAATGACGACTAACAGGGAGGTATTTTCGTCTGTACAACACGTCAATTCTGAGTTATTCGACATCACCCGAAACACATTAGAAGATTACCAGTTGACCTACACGGATGACAAGTCATCAAGAAAAGTCAGCCGTCTGACTGAGGAGGACTACATCATTGAAGCGAGATCCAAATTGGCAACCTTAATCGCAGACGAGACAGTGCTGTCTAAGTTTCTACAGTCGCACAGATCAGACGCGGCTAGGACCCCGAAATTATTAGATGAATTTATTCGTGCCAGGAGTAAAGAGGGAGTGGGCTTCAAGGAGAGGAAGCAAGTGCGATCCACAGTATCGCGTGAGTGGTGCGTTTCTAGGGACGGCAGTGCGCGCAAGTGTGTTAGTAAGAACCTGAGGAACGTGGTGGCTGATACAACGCATGCTAGAGTACCAATTGGGGGACTTTCAGGCGTGCAGAATACAATACCTCTACCGGCCGTCGCAGGGTTGGCGATACACAGGAGGGAAGATTTTGAACAAGTGTCGGTAATAGAGCGAGCATATACTAGGCCGGCACAGGCAGGCGGAGACTGTAAGTCACCAGGCCAGCGTTGTGGGTATGACTACGTGAATAGTCTAGCGTATTTACCGATGTGGTATACTGAAGATGGGTTTTGTCATGAGCCATGGCTAGACAATCATCTAGGAGTCTGCTACCAAATAGCCTCAGACCAAGCGGGAAAAAACTCTTTACATGTATACTTCGCAGAACTGAATACTGGGAGTACCTTCAACGAAAGTTTCGGGAAGATGAGCGGGGCTTCGTTTCCTGGACTCGCAGAGTATGGCGTGTCACACTGGGTAGGGGACATACTGAGTATGCGGTTAGACGACGAGTCCTCAACTATGCCCATCGGTGAAGTAGTCAGTAACTTCCGCCTTTTAGCTGTGACGTACAGGTTTAAGTTCTACAAAGCACTCGGAGCTAATTTAGTGGCAGTTGACGGAGATGCTATGACTATTATGGCGCATGTTTACGCAACAATGGCGATGAGAGGCGGTCTGTTAGATCCGAATATCACCGTCAGAGCGGAGACATACTCCCATGATGAGAGAATACCTATAACTACGGTCCAGAACTATGTCGTGTGGGTGTGTGCCGCGATAATGGGTCTTGCATCCAGTTACCTAGCCTTAGATAAGCTAGTCGCCAAATTGGTTGCTGACGTGGTATGGGACTCTGAGGCAGTTAACACATCTAGCCGAGGCTCCTGGCTTAAGTGTGTCTTCTCTTTACGTGTAGGAGACGATTTTGATTACGCAGTGAGGAAGTTTAATGACGACCAGTATGGCACGGGGTTCTGCCATAATCCAAAGGAGACTAGCCTCAGATTAGGACTGGACAGCAATGGGGGTCAGATCAGGCATCTTGGTTTCAGCGAGGGGAGAGAGAAAGACAGTGACGTGCCTGCCTTTCGGACACACCAGTTGCTTAAAGGAAAACCGCCAATTCGCGACGCATCCCCTGGAGTGGACGGTGATTTAGACGCAGGCCTCAACAGTGTGTTTACTGTTGATAGGGGGGCAGACGTCACAGTATATCGTCTGGAGTCCAGGTTCTTGAAGAGGACCACACGTGCGAGAGAGTCATTAGTTTACGGCCGACGCTGCCGCTCACCGCTCCGTCACAAGTGCAGTTCGTAGCAGTCCTCACCCAACGCGTGGACAAGCTCCGCTGGTTTTTCTCAAGGATCAGATTGTTGGAAGCTGGGATACTCAAGCAAGAAGAAGGCAAAAATGTGAATGCTGAAAACAAGTCCCTGGATCCTCCGACCTGCGCGGCAGGCGTAGCCCCACAGCAATAGCTTGGGGCTGGAGGTGGGGAAGCAGAGTAGGCGCGTTTGCAGCCCGCGTGGTTGCCCCCGCGTGGTTGCCGGCAAAATGCGCGCTTTTAGGCTGTTAGAGGCTTGCAGTGGACAAGGTTCGTGTAGAGAAACACATGTGCTTGTCAGTCGTCAACACTCGTGTGTACTCACAACGGACACACGTGTGCGAGATGGGATACGTTGACACAGATAACACGTGTGTAAGCTCGTTGCTGATAATGTGGAAGAAGCAGACAGCATTTCGGAGAGCTGACAGAAAATAATGCAGACAGCGAGCGCAACTCTTAGCCCTGTGCTCAAAATCTGGGAGAACTTTTGACTTGCAAAAATAGAAAATCTTTCCCCTGTCATTTTGTTTCAAACCAATATCGGTTTGGAGCTGCGCGCTCGAATACCCCAGTGGATATGCAGCTACAAACGAAGCGCCTGGTATTGCAGACGGGGAGGGATGAAGTTATGGTCACCTAAACTTTTTTTGGGAGAAAAAGTGGGAGAAACTCTCCCAACGACCGTGGGAGAGTTCTCCCAATTCTGGGAGAACTCTCCCAATTCTAGGATCCTTCTCCCTAGTTTGCAAGATATGTACAATGAAATGCGCATTGTCCGTCACCCCTTTCGTGCTCTAACCGTTACAATTCTGATGCTCATTTATTCACGTAGACATTCTTGCTTTCTCCTTGAGCTTAGCCAACTCCGCAGGACTAATTTCGGCTTTCGGGAGCTTCCTTTCCGTATGCCATATATCCCAACACGAGCGGCAGATTGGCTGCGAGCACAACACGCACCACTGTCGCATCTTAGATCCACCTTTCTTTTGGAAACGCTTCTGCCTGTACATTATAGTATGAGTAAACGAACACAAACTACAATACGCAGCCTTCCCTTTGATTGCCTGATGCTCTTCAGAACCGTTTAGACGCCTTACTGAATCCTCCCTTCTATTGTACTTTTCTACAACATCCGTTGTGTACATGTGCTTCATGTTGGCATGCGTTCCAGCCTGAAAATTGCCCTGGTTCCCTGTTGAGTATCTATTTCTGTTAGAGACCATTTGGCAGAGGGTCGTGTTGGAGTCTCGCCTCTCCGACTCCATGTTAACATATTCCCGTGCGAGACACCTCGCAAATGACCCAAATGTTGCACAAGATGTTACACGATGACGTGTTTTCTTATATCCTTCTTTCGTAGTAGCATGCTCTTCTGAAGCCAATAAATACCCTTTTGTGCGTGCGATAGCTATGCGATGAACAATTGCAGCGTTACAAACCTGCCCACAAATCAGTCTCCCAATTATACTAACGATCGGGTTCTCGCTCGAGTTAGTGTAGGCCAAGCTTTTCAGTGCCCGACTGAATTCATCTACACCCCCCTTCAAGGCGTTCCAATAAACCAATAATGTAGGACGTATCATTCTACTGGGCGGTAACGGCCCGTTAGCATCTACGAGCCTTTTATAGGCCCTACACAAATTATAATGCGAGGCCAATGAATACAGATCAGGGGAGTGGCTTCCACTTAGTAAAAGGTCGTATTCAGAAGGTATGTGAGAGGCATGTTTGCCCACCCAGTCAAAGGCACTTAATCGCACCGCATCCATCCAAAAGGAATAAGAGGAAGTCGCCACATCTGCAAACTCTATGAGGGCTGCATATAGTATTTCCCCAACTCCATTGTGGCTGCCTTTTGCAACAATATATAAAACCCTCCTCAGTGACGTTACTAAACAATGGTGAATACATTGAAACCTGTACCCCGTGGTATCCACTAATTCCTTGAAATGAGCTGCAGCAGATTCAGAGTTCCCTACATCTTCTATAGAAACGAATGGGCTGTAGGCGTCCCTCCTCCTTTTCGCCTTCTCAATTGTATTGGGAGATGCCATAGTTTTCACTTCTATGGCAGCACAAACAGCATTCCCATCATCATCTGTTAGCCCTATCAGCCCATCAGGGCTATCTGCGAGCATTGGGTTGGATTTTGACGCAACAAGGCCAACACTTCGGACGTAGTCCGCTCTATATTGGGTACCGAATAAAGGAAGCAGTTTCTGATGCGCAACTGAAGCATCGAAAACACAGTGTTTTTCAATAAAAGCTGGTATGGCCCTTAGAACCTGTATTTCATTGACCGTGCCCTCCTTCATACCAGCCGTTGATACTAATGGCTTCATCGCCCAGGAGTCGAGTGAGGTCTTATAAAGGTTTGTGCGGAGAATAGCAGCATTTCCTCTATATATATCTTCTTGATTAGAAGATGGACCTTGCGTTGCTGGCACACCAATTCCATTTCGGAACTGTGCCTGGTACCTTTTCACAGCATCAATGAGTTGTGGCTTTCTCATCGTTCTCTTTTCCCTTTTGCCAACAGTTAATAAAAGTGAAATTATATTGTCTTTGCGGAGATTTTGTACTGCAGTCGAAGACATAGCAAGGAAGGCGTTAAGATCTTCTGAAGTTACCACAACACTATCGTTCTGTTTCCGGATCCCAGTTATTCTCTGGATTCTGTCCCACTTATCGTCAAGCTGCTCCTTCACTTCGCAAGGTTCAAGGCTGAGCGGCTGCGTCATTGGAGTGAGGCGTTTGCCGCCTAAAATGTGGCTCATTCCTGAGAGACTAACATTGTAGTCACGAGATATAGCAGCAAAAAAGTTGCTGCCAGTGCGAGATGTGAACTTGAATGCTCTTGCCAAAAACCACGCAGGATCTTCCGACTGCATGACCGTCAAATGCCGTAGATTGGAAAGTGTTGAACGACTTTCAGTACTGTAGCACTGTACTGGAGCCCTCTTTCACGTAAATTGTATCTATCTGCCATGTGCTCGTCGCTTCGACGGTCGTAGATGACCTGTATCTGTTCGACTTGTTCAGATGTAAAGGAAGTCCTGTAACCTTCCTTCGATACCATACAAAATTTATGGGCACCGAAGCGGCTTACATCATTGCTATATACAGCGGCGATGCGACCTGAGTAACTTTCCCGATAAACCGAGGCCTCCACACTTCGACCTTGACTTCCAAGTGGCTTTTTTATTGCACTGTACACAGCTCGGCATCCCCGCTCCGACACAGCCATACCGTTGTGTTTTTGTGAAATCGGCCCGTCTCCGAAAACGAAAGGGAAGTTCAACGACCTCTTGTGGGTCCCTAACCCAGTAGCACAGAGCACTTCGTTGATAAATCTAATTGTTTCAACTTGATTGTATCCCCGGTCTGCTGCGAACAATGCATCTACCATCGGCCTGATTGACCCAGCTGTGGGTACACCTTGTAACAACTGCACCAGCCTGTGCCAAACATCAATGATTTTTTCATTAGGGCGTGAGTAGTGACTGGCTATAAAAGTATGCGTTAAAGCTGAGCATACAGCATTATTCACCGGTCCCAGAGCTTTCTTCGGGTTGTTTATCTGTGCTAGGTTGGTGAGATGCAAGACCGACCTAGAGCTTAGACGGTTATGGTCATCGTCCAATGAGTATATAGTTACACCCTCCACGTTGACAAGCACCCTGTTAATAGCGGCTAGTTCGGCTTCCATTTCCGTTATGAGAAAATTGCCTACAGTAGGCTTGTTGAACCAACCGAAGGCATTAGCATCAAAACGCTGCCGGTTTTCTTTAGTGCAAGACAACGCACTCCATACCTCTTTGTACCTCTGCCCTGTAATGCCCATTTAGTAAAAGAAAGCTTCATTTTCCGGTGCAGTGATGGTAGCTGCACAGCTGTTGTACGACGCCGCCAATACGTGATGATGACCCCTTTCAGCTCAAATGTTTCAACTCGTCTTTTTTTCTTCCAGTTAAGCACTTCATTGATATGCGCACGTAGCTTTTCGAGGATGGATAGCGGAATGAAGCAATCGAATACATCAATACGGCGGAGGTTGCTCGCATCCACAGCTTTATCACGCAGCACACTTGCATTTGCAATTACGTTGTCAAGGATTTCATTTGATTCCAGAATATATTTTGGGCAGAGTTCACGATCAACGACGTCGATATCAAGCTCTATTGTTTCAAAAGGGGTCGCGTAGTCCCAATCTGGAAGCTCGGTAGCTTCTGGCACATCGCGTGACAAGTTTTCAACATGTGTCGTATCCTGTGTTTGCATGGGAAACTCCAAGTCCGTACCAGGCGGTGCATTGATACACTCAGAAGCATAGTCGTTGAAAAGAGCGGAGAAGTGGTCCTGTATTACGGTAGTAGTACCTGAAACATGATTGCTAATAGACCGCGTGGGATTACGTTCGCATCCTAGAGCGACCAGCTCAGAGTCAGACACAAAAATACTGTTGTCATCTGAACTTTCAGATAGCTCATCAACAGGATCATCACATTCTAGCTGCGCTTGCTCTTGAGAAAACGGCAAATCGGTAGAAGATAAAGAGTCAAAGTTGGCCGGGTTTTGCATTGGGGATATCGGTCTGTTCTGTTCAGCACGGCGAGGCCACGCTCCAATGTGACGTGGAACATAATGGGGTGGTACAGGAGAAAGGGAAGCACTACGTTGGGGCGAAGTGCAGACACGTTGTTCTGCAACTTTGGCATGGATCGGCGACAGGGGACCGGGCGAGAAGGGATCTTCGCTGAAGAGATCGGCATCGATGCTATCATCAACTGACAACATTACATTCCGCTCGCTCATTTCGTATTGTACACGACAATGTGGACAACAGTAGTACTGAGGCGTCGGTGAACAGTAAGGCAGGGTGTTACCTGGAGGATCATGAAATTTTTAAGGGAGAGAGTGGTGCGGATGCCTTGTTAAAGAAGGTGGGTGAGCTGTGGTGTGCGTGAGAGAGAGTGGGAGAGAGTGGGAG